GGCGCATCGGCATCCGTGCAAGGGTGGTGCATTGTGGGATGCGCACGCGCCGCGGGGGGGCGGGGGGGGCACGGGGCAGAGGCAGGTGCTTTGGAGGCATTTTGGGATATTTGAGGGGGGTGCAAGCACGCGGGTGCATGCTCGGGGGGTGCATGGGTGTGTGTATGCACAGAGCTGCATGTAGGGGGGTGCGTGCAGGCAGGGGGTGCAGCGTGCGCAGCGCGTGCATGTGCAGGTGTGTGCATGCAACTGGGGAGCTCGCGTTTGGGGGTGCCCGGAGGGGGTTGTATGTGAATGGTGCAGGCATGTTGGGGTACATGGTGCCCGGAGGGGGTTGTATGTGAATGGTGCAGTCATGTTGGGGTACATGGTGCATGCACGGTGTGCGTGTATGGGGATGCATGCATGCACAGCGGTGCATGCGTGCACGGGGTGTATACTTGCACAGTGCGCGTGGGGGGTGCATGCATCCACAGGGGCACATGCGTGTGGAGGTGCACATGTGTGCAGTGTGCGCTTGCACCCCTGTGCATGAATGCAGCGTGTGTGCACCGTGCATGCACGCGCCTTCATCTGCACACACCCCTTGCACATGTGCACTCCCATGTGTGGGGCCCTGTGTGTGTGCGCTCTGCATGCATGCGTAGGGCTGCACATCTGCAGAGGTGCAGGCAGGCACAGGGTGCGTACCTGCAGAGTGCGTAGATGCAGGGTGCATCGTGCACGGTGTATGTGCATGCGCACCCCTGTGTGTGCACGCACCCCTTGCACACATGCACCATGACATGCGAGCAGCATATGTGTGCACCGTGCATGCCTTTACCCTCAAGTGCACACACACAGGGGTGTACATGCACCCCGTACAGATGTGGGGGTGCATGCATGCACAGGGGTGCATGCACGCACAGGGTGCGTGCTTGCAGACCTGTGGAGGTTCATGCACACCCAGTGCTGCATGCATGTGGGGGTGCAGGCGTGCACAGTGGGCATGCAGACATGCTGCACATGGGTGCAGGTGCACCTGTGCACAGGCAGTACTCAAAGCCCCAGTCTGGCCAGGTTTTCCCCCAAAAGCTGCGGCGTGTTTCTGCTCTCCTCCCCCTCTCCAGGGGAGGCATGACTGGGGCTGGGTGAGTGGGTTGGGGTAGTGGCACCTTTACTGGGCTATTACTGGCTTACTACTAGGTTACTACTTGCTTCCTATGAGGCTAGTGCTAAGATACTACTGGGATACTCTCAGTAACCTTGTGAGGAGTAGTGAGATACTCTCGAGACACAGCTGAGATACTCTCAGGATACTACTAGGATGCTACTAAGATGCTCTCAGGACTTTACTAAGATGCTGTCGGGATGCTCTGCAGGCAGTACTAAGGCACTCTCAGGGCGGCACTAAGATACTGTCAGGATACTATGTGGATGCTACTAGGATACTGCGAGAACGCTACTAAGGTACTGTCAGGGCACTACCGGGATGCTGTCAGGACACTACTGAGATATTTCCAGCATCTTCCCAGGGTTGGTGCTGAGATACTATTATGAAGGTACCACTGGGGCAGCGCTAACACACCATCAGGGTACTCTGAGGATACTACGATAGATACGGTTAAGATGCTTTCAGCATAGTAACATGGCACTAAGATGATATCTGGATATTACATGGCACTACCAAAATACTATCAGGACACTACTAAGATAATAGCTGTATACCATTACAACACTATTAGGATCCTATCAGGACACTGCTCATATACTACTGTGATACTATCAGGGCGCTCTTAGGACGTAACTAGGATGCTATTGGGATGCTCCTGACATAGTATCAGGATACTACTACCTGTGCTAGTACAACATCAGAGCAATGCTGAGCTATTCAGTAGCTGCTACTAGGATACTCTCAGTGTAGCACAAAGGTACTATCAGGATGCTGCTAAGATATTATCAGGATACTGTTGATACTCCAAAAGATACCGCTGAGATACTTTCACAATACTATTGAGGCACTGCCAAGATACTACAGGGCCACTACTAGGATACTACTAAGACAGTATCAGGGTACTACTATGATAATATCAGGATATTATCACAGCGCTGCTAAGGTGCTATCAGGACAGTACTCATTTCTTAGTAGGGTGCTGTCAGGATGGTAGTAGGATATCAGTAAGGATACTTCTGAGATACTACAAGGGCACTAGAAAAGGTAGTGGTAAGATACTTGTGGGATACTGTCAGGGCAACACTCAAACTTTTGGGATGCTGTCTGCACATTACTGATACTAGTATGATACTTTCAGGCCACTACTAAGATATTGATATAGTATAAGGATACTACTAAGATACTACCAGTTCAGTAAAAAAGGTAGTGTTACGATACTTTTTATATGCTATCAGGGTAGCACTAAGATACTTTTGGGCCACTATCAACACTTTGTGGCTACTAGTAAAGTACTACTAGTATAGTGTCAGGATATCATCATGTTTCTATGAAGACAGTACTAAGATGCTGTTGGGATACTACTAGGATACTATAGAGATACTGTTGGTGGCATAATAGCCCTGGCAGTAGGGTTTCAGCCAGCACGGCGGCAGCAAAGGGAACGGGGAGCCCTGTGTTGTAACCTGTGAGTAGCCTGGTGCCTCACGGGCACCCTCTCCCCGCAGCTAAGGCGGCGCGTCGGCGTTGAGGAGGATGGAGGCGCCCCTGGTAAGCCTGGAGGAGGAGTTCGAGGAGGGGCCTGGGGACGATGGGGGGACCCCGCAACGCACTGCGGACCCGGCGCTGGCCGAGCTGGAGAGCTTCTCGGCTGAGATGATGAGCTTCAAGTCGATGGAGGATCTGGTGCAGGAATTCGATGAGAAGCTCACTGTCTGCTTCCGCAACTACGATGCTGCCACCGAGGGTCTGGCCCCCGTGCGGGGGCATCTCCAGGCGCAGGAGGAGGAGGAGCGCCTCCAGGATGAGGAGTGAGTAAGGCCCCCCCTACTCCCGGGGACACGTGCCTCGCACACCTGCAAAATCCACCCCCCCACAATGCAAGCTGTCTCCCTGCATTGCAGCGTGGTCATGCAACACAGCAAAGTAGTGGTGTAGTAACCTGTTAGTAAGCCCCCTCACGGCCTGTGCGCCTCCTTGCACCCTTGCGAGACTTCCCTGACCAGCTCCCTGCATTGTGGCACGATCATACAACATGTCAGGAATAGCGCTGTAGTATCCTATGAGTAAGGACTCCCTCGGGGTCTGCATGCCACCTTGCATGCTAGCAAGGTACACCCCACATGCAACTCAGCCCCCTGCATCACGACGTAGTCATGCAGCAGTGTGGAGTAGCTGTGTAGTGTCCTATGAGTAGCTGTGTAGGATCCTTGGAGTAGCTGTGTAGGATCCTATGAGTAGGCCACCCTTGGGCCCGCATGCTTCCTTGCATGGTCATGAGATACACCCCGTCCCACGGCATGCAGACCAGCCTACCCCATTGCAGTGTGGTTGTGTAGCACATCAGAATAGCAGTGTAGTATCTTATGAGTAAAGCCCCTCTGGAGCCTACTGCACCTCCTTGCATGCTTGCAAGATCTCCACCACGTGCAAATCAGCCCCCTGCGCTGTGGTGTGATCACGCAGCACCTTGGAGTAGCTGTGTAGGATCCTTGGAGTAGCTGTGTAGCATCCTTGGAGTAGCTGTGTAGCATCCTATCAGGAGGCACAGCGGGGTGCCCCATGTCGCATTGCAGCGAGTCACGGCAGGCTCAGTCTATGTAAGGAGAGCCCCGGGGCGGGTGAGTGTAAACCTTGAGTTAGGTGTGAGTAGACCTTAGCCTCCTGCTTGCAACGTGCAAGCTCTGCACCAAGCCAGGGGGCAGCCAATTTGGGGCAAAATCCCCCCAGCCCTGCCACAATATAGTGGCATTTGCATTAAAATCTAAATTTTCATTAAAACCCTTTTTTTTCGCTGCAAAATGCCATTTTTTTGCCAAATTTGTGTGGGTTTATTTCAGCGATGTTTATACGTTAACGCCTTTCTAATGGCTTTTTCTGTGTGTAATTGGGATTACTCCCCAGGCTGCAATTCCTAATACTCATTTTTCACCATGCAAAGCGGTTGTTTTCAACCCAAAGGCCCCCAAACCTGTTTTGTTTTGTTTTTGGTTTTTTCCCACCAAAATCCACTGAGGCTGAATTGCTTTTCGTAATTGGCCAAATTGATGGTTTTTCAGAGAAAAACGCATTTTGTCCAGGTGCCGGGAGCGCCGCGCTGTCGCCGGCAGCCGGCTCGCAGCGCCGCTTTGTGCTGCTCATTGTGTCTTTTTAGGCGCCGGCTCGCAGCGCCGCTTTGTGCTGCTCTTTGAGTCTTTTGGGGTCAGTTTGGGCAAAACAGGGCTTTTTTTTTTCCCTCCCTTTTGAATGAGCCCTGTGTGCACGGGCGGGGGATGGGCTGGGGCCTTAAAGGCGCTGTATTTCCCTAATCATTAACCAATTCTTGCCATAATTAACCCAGAAATCTGCTGCTGCTGCTTGCCTGACCCTGCAGGGTGCTGGCCCTTTAAGAGCGGGAAAAAAACCAAGTCGCAGGGGATAATAATTTTTTCCTTATTTGCTGCGTTTCCGTTAGAAATAGCAATATAGGGTTTGACGTGCACATTTTTGTGCGTTAATTTGTGAAATATGTGATTTAGGGTGGAATTAAGATCAGCTGAGGAGGGAGAGGAGATAAATACCCAAAAATGAG